GGCCACCCATATGGTTTCCTTCTTAATGGGTTTCCGCGCACCCTGCCACCGAGCAGCGCTGGCTCCGCAAACGGCACCTGGCGGAAATGTGTCTACTTTGCCCGTAAGATCCCCGTGGAAAGAAGCACCTGCAACAAAAACACGTCCGGAGGAAACACCTGCCCAAAAACAAAAACAAAAAAAGGAGAGTCCCACAAAACTGCTGGGATCTTTTCTTGCTGGGTCAGTCTTGAAGTCCCCGTTTACCAGTCCAACCAGCCCTTGGCTTCTCATTTGTAACCATCCCAGGAATGATTCCGGTGAACGGGACTGGCAAACTTGGATCAACCTAATAGCGTTGCGACTTGGACATCGCGGAGAAAAAAAGCTGCCACCCTCCAACCAAGTTGTCCAGCCACCAGAAATGGACGAGGTTCCAAGTTGGACAGGTTCCGTCTCAGCGGGTGCACGAATGAAGGCTTCAACTTGAACTGTTCAAGGGCAGTGCTCAGAAGCCAAATCCGATCGAACCCTCCAAAGAGAATTGGAAGAATTCAGGGCCCCTCGATAAACGACTCCCAAGGCCACCTGATCCCCACCTCGAGGCAGTGACAGGTACGCCAACCCACCATTGCAGGAGCCTCTGGATAAACAAAGTCTACGCACCAGTTGGTAGGTGTTTTATTCCAGTGTTCAAATCGGCTTTCATTTCTTTAGCTGTTGCCGATCGGAGGATTTCGTCAGGAGCTTTGCCCCAAGGTCTCCTTTTGATTCTCACTCCCTGAGGTGCTGCGCTTGTTGGGGACCCCATGAAACCACAGCGGCCATTCGGGCTAATCCTCAGGGTGCTCCTGTCAGAATGGTTTTCAGCAATCGCCCGTTCATTCAAAGGTTGCTTCCCCACGGATGAAGCCGCGGGGGACCCTTGGTTGCTTACCCACATATGAAGCGAGGCGCATCGGCGAAGTATGAATGTGTTCACTTTATTTTCCCTTTCAACGTCAACCCGCCAAAAAGAAAGCTATGTTGGATGGGCCCCCAATGTGGCCATGGGACAAAAGCCCGTACCCCCTAGTGAACATCCCAATCCCCACTAAAATTGACTAAAATGGTACCATTGGTTTTCACCCACAGCCATGTGACCCTTTAATCCAGTTTCTTTTAAAGAAGCGAGCCACGGCTCGGCCCGTGAGCGGCCTTGCTAAACGCCATCAGCATCTCGGAGGACTTCTTGGGCGCGGGGCCCGCGTCGCCCAAGCGGCCCTTCTTCAGGCGCGCGTACTTGTCCAGCACCTCCAGCCTCGCATCTCCCAGTCTCACCCCCAAAAAGCATCCGCCGGTTGAACCCCCAGACATTAATGGAACCGAAACCACCAGAAAGAAACAGCTGGCCCAAAGAGTTCTTCTTAAATTGGTAAGGGGACCCATCAAAAACCAGAATGTCTGGGAGGAATCTCCTAAAGAGTTCTGCTCGAAAAAACAGTTCTCATGCTTGGAGGAATCTCCGTTTTGGAGTCGGGCCACGTTCAAGACTATGTGGCACGGGACCTCAAAAGAGTCCCAGTTCAGAGTCAACTATCTATGTCTTCTTTGGGGGCCAAGGGGTCTGCAAAGGAAAAAACAAAAGGTTTCCACGACCAATGTCAAGGTTCCATACTGCGGGTGGGATAAGCCACCTACCAGCTAGCAAGGGCGGGCTCCCTTGCCTCAATTTTGTGGCTAAGCCTTAGGGCGTTCCTCCCATTTCAGGGACACCCCGACAAAGTTGGGCCAACCCATTGCTTCGGTTAAACTCCTATGCACTACGGTTTAAACTACTTACCTCCTCTATTTTCTTCTAAAAGCAAACCGAAGGTTAGCTGCTTCAAATGAATTTGTCCGGAAAAGGATGGAAAGCCCTTAAACAACGGGAGAACCTCCCGCTTCCTCGTTTGTGATGCGTTCTTTTGCGGTAAGCATAGATTACAGCCAGTCGACCGCCAGCCGACCGGTAGGGAATTGGAATGACACCGAACTGTAGCATCCAACTCGCGGCTTCCTTGGGAATCCCTGTTGGGCTGGCCTCAGACCCACGGCTAAAAGTCTAACGTTAGTGTCTTTATGGAAACTTCCCCCAAACCCTAAAAGCCGAAGGAATCAGATGGCTGGGAACCACCCAGTTGAGGGAATCCGCTTCCGGCTCATGCCAAGAAAACTTTGCTTTCGCTTTCGCTCTCTCTCCCTCTCCCTCTCCCTCTCCCTCTCCCTCTCTTTCGCCCTCTCTCTCTCTCCCTCTCTCTCTTTCTCTCTCTCTCTCTCTCTCTCTCTCTCTCTCTCTCTCTCTCTCTCTCTTGAAGCTAAAGCGCTAGTTTCCCCAACACCAAAACATTTAGTCTGCAAAGCACTTTTTGACTGGTCATGTCCAAATGTAGTATGAGCTCAAGACCTGCGGTGTAGTGTACACAATGCGCTGGCAGGGCAAAGTAGCGCATGGTGCATCTTGACATGGCCACTCGGAACCAAGGCTGATGCACTCAAAAATTCCGCATTTAAACACATGATGTAGCTGTTGTGCTACATGCGTATGCCAAGGCTCTGGATAAGCCGTTGTAGGGTTTCCTTTGGTGATGTATTTGGTGAATAGATCTGCGCCGTTGTGAAGTCTGTTGGTCTTGGCTGCAAATGTTCATTTCCTGCAGGAAACGTCTGAGGTGTAGTCCCTATTAACTTCCGCGCAGATCAGACAGCGAGTAGTCACCATTAAAGAATCGTGGTGGTAGTTTGTACCTATGTAGTCTTTGGACGCCACTTCCTGTAGTTACTGCTCTGGCTGTCTCTGGTGTAGCTGGTCCGTTGGTTGGTCGTCTAGTGGGCTGTGCTGATGCTGATGCTGATGCTGAATCTCCAGACATGTCGCAGTAGTTTGGCATAATGCTGCCTTGTTGCTGTCGTACGTAGTGTCGTATACTGGAGCTCCCCTGTGTGTAGGCACGTTAAAATCAAAGTGCACATGTGATCTAGTTTCACTAACACTCAAACACTTAGTCTGCAAAGCACCTTTTCACTGGTCATGCTCAAATGTAGCAATGAGCTCAAGGCCTGCGGGGTAGCGTACACAATGCGCTGCAAAACCAAAATAACACATCGTACATCTTAACATATCTCGATCACTCTCTCTCTCTCTCGACTTCGCCTGTGAAGGGCATAGAAGTCCTCAGTGGCGTCCTTCCCAGCATACTCCAACAGGATCTGCGTGCCGCCCGGGTGCACCTAGTCCGCATCGAAAATCCGAAGGCCCAAGGAATTAAAGCGCCTCTTGCGGGAACCCTGAAAACGGTTCCATTTCGGGGCTTCCACCAAAAATAGACAGCCCCAGCAGGATTCGAGAAGTAGCTACAAGACCATGAGCTCGCGAGTCTTTACTTCGGAATCCGCAGCCCTCACCACGCGCTGGTCGCATGTGTGTCAGCAACTCTCTCGCCATGCCGCGTTCCCAAGTCAAGCAAAGGGCTATCGAGTTAGTGACAAAACTTGTCCGTTCTCCTTTTGTTGCCGGTTGGCTACAGACTTTGACTTGGGTGTTATCTTCCGCTTTCAGTGGAATGACCTGCGGGCATCATCAAAACCACAGGGGCGCAGCCATGTGCATGCGCAGTCAGTGTGTTTTGCAAGTGTGTTTCCGTCTGATGTTGCGGAACAATATTACGGTCAACTGGATGTCTGTCCTCCAGTCTTTTGGGGGTCTGGGCCCTTGGTCTAGCTGCTCACACCAAACACGGGCCCAGTACATCGAGAAGTCGAGTCTCACCGAAGGTCGCCCGTTGCCCTTTGGTCGCGGGTTGGGCTCTTCTTCCAAATGAAGGGTGCAAGGTGACCGAACTACTCAAAGGGCACCAACCGCCTTTTTGTTCGGCCCGGTTTAACGTGCCCCAACTGATTCAGGCCCAACTTGTCTCAAAACTCGATATGTAACCCAGCATTGGTGGTTGAAACCCTTCCAATGCAGACCCCGGCCTCCATCGAAGTTGAGCCCGACCTGCGCCCCTTAAAACCCATTCTGAAGGACCAAAATCCAAAGGGCCAACTACAAAGAAAAACGTCCCAGAACGCCCCAAAACGTCCCTAAAGGCTGCATCCAACAGAGTTCGGCATTTCCAAAAGAGGCACCCCCGCAAACTTGGTGACGTCGTAGACATCGCCGTCCACAATGATCCAGGCATCCTCTGCCTTCCGGACATCCGGCTCGCTCCCTTTGGGGTTGCTGAGCCAATTGGTCCCTTGTTGCCCTCTGCTTTTGCTGGCCCTAAACCAACCTTAATGTTCATATTATGTATATATATATATATATAATATTATTTTTGGGGGGGGCGGGGGGGGGGGGGGCGCTGATGCCAAACAAATACTTCAAACTCACTGGACGAGGGTATAGTCGGCACCATGCTGATGGTTCCTAGCGAGGTCTGGGCCTGTTCACCTCCCGACCGGCTGGGACATTTTGATTCCGTCAAGCAAACAAACAGTGGGCGGCATTTTACGCGTTGCGCCTCCCCTTTTTGGTTCAGACAATCCCGAGGCGCCCCGTGAGACGTGCAAACGTAGTTTGGGACATCCCTTTCGCCTTGTTGTGCTTGGCAACCTCCTCCCGGGTGAAGGACATTGTCACAGTCGCAAGAGAAGCTGAGAGGCGAGAGGCTTTGCCGAAAAAAGGCTGCGGGTGCTCTCCTGGATCAGGCGCTCGTTTGCACGTTGTCTTGGGTCAACCACCTCCACCGATACAAAAGGGGGCTGACGACTTACTTGCAAGTCGGAAGTCAACATCACCCGCCCTTGTAAACAAACAAAGAACCTTGGGGAAGAGTGCCACCCGCAGTTGGCTGGAATGGCAAACGCGGCTTCTTCGAAATGACGAAAGAAACACACCAAACTAGCATCAACAGCACCAGCCAACCTAAACCAAAGCTTATATACATGTATACACACATCTGATTTTGAAGAGACCCCTCCTGAAAATTCATGGCACATGGGCATGCGAGCCAAGCTGCCCGAGGCCTTGTTGTAGACATTCTGGCCGTCCTTACGCTCAATGCAACGGTGCCGTGTGTTTCCACGTAAGACTCTTTCGGAGGTCAAGCAAACCAAACGTTTCCACATAACACTTGAGTCCGGCCCCATCACCCCTAAACATGGCGGCCATGGAATGGCCGCCCAAACCCCCCCCCCCCAACCCCCCCACCCCAACCCCCCCCCCCCAACCCTCCCCCCAACCCCCCCCGCCCACCCCCCCAACCCCCCGCCCCGCCCACCCCCCCAACCCCCACGCCAAGCAGCGCCCTCTTGGAGGTTCGCGAACTCCTCCACCGCTTTGAAAGACTCGAAGGCCGGCAGCGCCACCCCGAAGATGGTGCACCTTGCCACGCGAGCGGCGGCTGCTCCTCGAACGAGGACCCCCGAAACGGCGATGGCTTCCGCGTCCCCTTGGTTTCCCCTTAAAACCCACCCCCCAACAAGGGTACCTTGCAAAAAATCCCTTTCAACCAGCCCCCAACAAGGTGGTACCCGCAAAAAGAAAGAGAAAGACGGACTAAAATTTACCAGAGGACTTTGCTTGGATGTTGGAAAAGCACCGAAGCTTTTGGGTATTCAAAGGGAAAGCAAAAGGAAAACACCACCATCCATATGATATTTGAGTTACCCAGTTGCAAAGGGTTCAAAGGGGAATCTGTCCCTTTGAAAGCCACCCAAGGGTACCCCCACCCCAAAAAGACAAAAACCATATAAAGGAACGCCACTCCAAAACTAAAGTCATCAGACTCTGCTCCAAATTTACCCCAGAAAAACAAAGTCCGTTTTCCTCGGGTTTTGCCCCAGTACAAGAACCCATGTTACCCCCCACGTGTGTCTATGGTGCTTGCTCACCCGAAATCCACTCGCGGCTCGCGGCACACCAGCTGCCCTCCCACACCGTAGAGCAGGAAGATCAAGCTCAACAGCAGAAAGCCCACCGCCACCACCACCTGCAGTCGCTCGTCAGACCCCCTCAAAAAATGGCATGTAGGGGGGGGGGGGGGCTGCAGACCAGACACACGCAGACACAAACACAGACACGCAGGAACGCAGACACAGACAGACACACACACACATATATATAGAGAGACAGACACAGACACAGACACAGACACAGGCATGGACACAGACACAGAACAGACACACAGAATCAAACCCAAACAACGACACACACACACACACACATGCAGACACAGACACAGACACATAGACACAGACAAAGACACAAACATGCAGACACCGACACATAGATGCAGACAGACACACACAGACACAGACAGACCAATACAAGCCATGGTTGCTGGGAAATGTAGTGAGTCCATCTCCCACTGGAAAACTTGGCCAAACCTCACATGGGTGTGGCACGTTTCTTGAGAGTACCCTTTGTGGGCTGGCTTGGAAGGGAATCCGAAAGGAACACCTTTTCCGGTTGGATTGCTGGACACGAACCCCCACCTGAATGATCACCAAACGGTCCCAACGAACTCTCATACCCATATGGGCATGTCTTTTTTTGAAGATGAAGATACCCCTTTGCCGTGCCCTACAACGCTCACTCGTGTGTGTGTGTGTGTGTGCGTGTGTCCCTAATGAAAAAACATATGGAGCGAGAGCAAACGCCGCCGAGGCGCCGGGGTGACCTGCAGCCGCCGCGCCAGGTGCCGCACCAACGGAACCTCGTCCCTTGGATCGCGTCGTCGCTCGCAGTCCGATATTTCTCTCCAAAAAGCTGCTGACAAGCCATTCATTGGATCACTGTGAGGAGACTGGGTGCGGATACGCACAGCGGCTATTGGCATGAAGCAAGTTCAAGTGAGCACCGCCCAAACCCGTGCAGATGGGTTCAAGGTGTATACCTTGCCAGGATCAATATGGGGCCTGTGTCGTTTTGTGAATACCCCTTTTGGGGGGGGGGGGGGGGAAAAGGGGGGGGAAAGGATTTTGAGGGGGTCCCCTATTTTAACACCCATATCCTGGAACTTGGGTACCAAATACATTCCTTTGACACCCCTATTGCAATTCCTGAGCAATTGTTCTACCAACATGGCTGGAAAAGTCGCTTAACTATTCCTTTAGCACCACCTTTCTTTCATGGGCCAAAGAGGGGTGGGCGCAAGTCGGGATTTTGAATTGCAACCCACGATTATATACTCTCCCGCGAAACAAACATCTTTGCAAGACAAATCGTTTCTGTTACTGCGCGCCCGCTTCTGTCGAGACATGCCCTGTGAGCAGCGAAAGAAACATGTGCCTCGAATGATAAAAGGGGTTGTAAGCCTTAGCCAGGCGCCGGATATCAGCGGGTTCTTTGGGGGTGTCCTGCAGGGCCCCTTGAGCCTTGTTTTTTTTTGGCTATGCACCTTCGCAACAAAAAATGCAAGCTGATGACTCTGGGAACGTTCCTTTTGCTGACCCCATGTCTTTTACCATCAAAAGCCACCACAAAGACCTGATTGGCTGGATAGAAAGTTGGTCCTTGAAAGCCACACGAGGAAGCCGTTGACCAATTGTCTACCTCTATGGGTTTGGCGAAAGGAGCAAGCCTGTGGTAGCTTAAAGGGCAGCTCCTCCAGGTAAGCAAACGGGACTGAAGCAAACCGGGTCGGAATTCTGAAATTGTTTTGTTCACCCAGCTGTGCCCAGCTCTCTCCGAGGCGCAGGTCTGCATTCACCGCCTCGGCTGTCTTCCCCTTGAGGAAGCTGGGAGCCCAGGACTCGTTGTGACGCGGGGCCTGGCTTCAACGTGCTGAAGACCTGGCCTTGGAGTCCCAGACCCTTCTCAGGATGTGGGACTTCTGTGCTTTTCCCAGCCTTTCTTGGGGACCGGAGATTCAAGGGAAATCAGCAAGTTGGACCAAATACAAATTCAAGGGACCGAATATCAACATGCTGGCCCAAAAACCAAGGGACGTCAACTGGAACATCAACATTGGGACTCCGCCCGGTTTGATACCGGACGGATGTTGCTGAAACTTTGCCCGGGCCCTGACTTCCCAAAGGCTGACGACTTGATTTGATTGAAGAGGGGCCAATCAAATGGGGGTCACATCCAGGGCGCCAGGGGGCCCTACGTGTCTTTTCTTGAGGGTACCCCGTGCTTGGTGGTTTTTTATTGGAAACTGACAGGAAAACCACCATATTAATATATATATATATATATATATATATATATATTGTATGTATTGTGTTTGTGTTTTGCTTTTCTTTGGGGGGGGTCCCCCCAAAACCGGTTGACCCTGGCTATGGTGGAAAACTAGTCCAGGCCTTCATGGCCTTCACGTCGGAAGCGAGGCCTGGACAGATTCGGCTGTGAGCTTTGGTGGACCGAGTCCAGCCTTTGTTGGGGTCTGGGGCGACAAAATACATGGGGGGGCGGGGAGTCTTAGAAGGCAAGCTCTGTTGGATCCCTCGAAACTCCAAAGGGCTGGTGTCATGTTTTATTTGTTCGATCACCGTCCGGAGGGTCCCGAAATGAGTGACTTGTTTTGCTCTTTGGCTTGAGGCGTGATATCCGCCCTTTTGAATCTCTTACCATGAGTCTTGCACACCCAGACGCTCATGAGGCTTCCAGATGCAGACATTTCCGGAGGGGTTGGGGTGTCTCACAACCTGACTGTTCGAGTGTTGATTCTGTTTACCACCCTTTTCTCTATCCCCAATAGCAGCCTGCCCAGCGCCATGGTTTTCCCTTCAGTCTTGCTTTTCTTCTGTTTCTGGCCTGCTGGTTCTCAGCAGGGAATGAGGGAATGACCCCAATAAACCATGCCCTATGGTTTCCTTTCAGGGAATCGTCAGGTTCATTCCCATAGTTCCTGAAGACACCATCATTGTTCTTCATTAACTTGCATGTGGGGGGGGGGGCATTTTAAGATGGCGTTCGAAGGGAAATCAAGCTGACACTTGATTGAGCAAACGCGTGTCCTAGGTTGCATACATCGGCCACTGTCAAACATTCATCAACCTGGTGGATTACAGGGGTGTGTTTCCTCAAAATTGAAGGAACCCCTCTTAAATTGTACCCTCCCCCCCGCGCTCAAAATACTCTAATATATCACGGGTTCACACATGTGAAGGCAGTTGATCCTCTCCTGTTTCTCCAAACGGGTTTTCAAGCAAGGCACAAATGATAATATAGAGACAAGAGGTATGCCATCCGAATTAAACCTGTCCTAGGAAGGTGGTCACCACAAAAGCGCTTCGGATTCCCACTACAAGGGGAATCCACCGGTCTTTTTCATCAACCATGCACGTGTTTATTCATCCGGGGTTCCCACTATTAGTCTTGGGCTTGGCGACCCCCGATCGCTCGCTTGGATCGCTTTCCGGCCTGTCGGAAGTTGGCCTGGAGGCGTCGTTGGCAATGGCAGGCCCTGGCAACGACTTCGTCGTGAGATGGATCGGTCGAACGAAACGGAGCTTGTTTTTTCTTTCGGGAGGTCCCTTTGAAAACAAGTGGTTTCTCCCCAAAACAAGGCACCCTCAATGAGTCCCCCTCCACTTAGGGCAGTTGACCCCGAAGACAAACAATAATAATGCTGTCTTGGGAAGCAAGGAATTTTGAATCACCCCCAAAACACGGTACCCGCAAAGAAGAGACACCAAGATTTAGGGGAGCCTAAGGCCTCAAGGGGATCCATACGCCAAGGTGCCGGGTGGAAAGGATCCTTCATAACATACCCAACCTTGAAGGCTTGGATAAGTAGGACCTTAGATTATATGTAGGACCTTACGTCGTAGGACCCTAAACAGAAGGTTTAGAGTTTCAATCATCACAAGTAAGTTGTTTCTCAACATGAGTGCTTCTCAAAAAGGTGGCCCCCTCAACCCCTAAAAATGATTGGGCTCCTTTTAACTTCCCCCGAACTACCTGGTGGTTTTTAATTTTGACCCATACCCGTGTGTCCCTGCAGATTAAGATGATCCCCCAGATTGGTGACCACCAGCATTTGGCTCTGGCCTCTCCAGGCTTGTCATTCGCATCAGCCTAGGCAGGACACCCTTTCTCCCCTGCAGACAGAGCAAACAGAAACTGCAGAAAATGGGGCCCACAAAAGCAGGTTCCTCGAAACATCTGCCATTGTTTGAATAACTCCAAAACTTGAAACAAGGGATTCCCAACTAAAGGACGTTGCGTCGCGGAGCTCGCTGTGCCTCCAGGTGAGCTCGCAAGTGAATAGGATTGTTGCGTGCCACCGCAACTCTGCCACGGAGTCATGATCGGAAAACATCATGCCAGTGGCAAGGCTTGCCGAAGGGCCTCTGTACGTTTCTCCGAATCAACCAAGCAGCTATTCTCATCAGCGCTCAGTTCGAATATTGCGCGGCCCTCTCACTGACATAAACTACCGTGCGCCCCAAAAGAAGCCGTGCATTTTTCATAAAGCCCCCTGAGATTCGCTGGGAAACATAGCGCGCGTCTGGAGGAAACGCTAAACAACGCCTTTCCAAAAACAACTGGGTCTTTCAAGTTTCCGACCTGCAGGAATCACCCCACCTTAGGTGAAACATGACTTCACGGGAAACCGACTGTCAATTTGCCTTTCCAAAAGGAATGGGGATCCCTACATTTCTGGGAGAAACAACACCACTTATAGGTGGAGAAAGATTCCCTGCAATTCCGAGCACAACAAATAACGCTTCTGGGCCCTAGGTGAAAGCGACATTCAGTTGAGATCCAAGCCTCCCCCTACCTGGGCAAATGATACAATTTCCAAAACGAATGCCCTTTCTAAAGGTGTCCAAAGAGCCATGGGTCCATTCAATGACTCAAGTGAACATTTGAGGGGTTCGCATTTTCAGGGGTGCCCTTAAGCCTTAGCGCACCAATTAGAGGGTACTTTTGGGACGTCTTACTCAAATGACAATATGCGTCTTCGTGCAGAGGGTGCGCATGTGACAGCTTTAGGAGACCTTCAGCATCCACAAATGATGCAATACTTCCGAACCTCATAGAAACCAGCTCCAGAACCAGACACACACGCGCAAACACAAGAAGTTGAAAGCGGGAATCCCCAAGTCAGGGACATAAGCACATCATGGGCTGAGAACCCCCCCCCTCCCGAACGGGCGAGTGCGCAAAAAAGTTGCTCAGCAAGCAGGGCAAATGCTCGCTGGATTCAGGTTTATATGTCCCAATCCCCTGGCATTTCCACAAGATGTATGAAAGGATTCGGGAAAGCCAAACTGGCAAGTGATGCACACAGAGACGTGAAGAATCACTTCCAATAAACTTTGCTTTTCAAAACCTCGGCGAGCCCAATCCTAAATCACAATAGGCCAAATCTAAACCAATACTAAGAGCTAGCAACCTCTCCCACCGACCTCTCCTCCAATCATATTAGGGGACCCTCTGCCCTCAGTCAGCAAGCACTATGCTTGAAAGAAGAACAAGTCACGGGTTCAACCCGTTCAATCAAATAATCGGTGAACTTGGTCAACCCCCTAAACAAGAAGAAGACCCTGGCTAAACCTTGTTCAGAATTCAACCCAAGAGCTCACATCTGGGCACAAACTGGCAGGTACATTTGAAGGATCCACACAAATCCGAAAAGGAGCTTCTGATTTCAGATGAGTGTGGGTACCCCTTTTTTGGTGGCTTTTGAAGGCAAACTAAAAGGGAAACCACCTGTTTTCCCCCCAAATGAAACATACACCCAGGTAGCTTTCAGCCGCCCTCCCCCACAAGTCGCGCCGCCTCAGGCTGGACGCCCCTGAGCTGATGACTCACTACCGCGGATTGGCCAGCTAAACCCTAAACCCTAAACCCTAACCCTAAACCCAGGCAAAGTGCAACTGTTGATTTGCTAAGATGGCCTTCCCGAAACGTTGTCTGAGTCCAGGAACTCAGGGAGTGAACATATTTATCGAAAAATCTTTCACTTCGACTCTTTGAAGAAGATCCCGACGGCGAAATGCTTAAAAGTTAAAACAAACAGACCCGATGCGGTTTCCCAAGGGACACCAAAAGGAGTTTGTTTCCAAGCGGGTCAAGGAGGTTGGCCAAACTACGGACCCTACCAACTTGGAAGCAGTATTGCCGTACTTATAGGAAAGATTTTGCCGATGTGCAACCAAGCAGACGGCTACCCGTACTCCGAGCCCCCTTTGCAGCGAACTGATTTTGAGCATTGGCCCAAGGCTGCCAATGGTTTTTGGGCCTCAAATTGGGCTGCTTTGAAAGGCACATCGAGTCGGCCTGCGCATCGAGTCGGCCTGCCCAAATTGGATTCTGGGGTTAGGATGGCCGAATTTGTGTAAAGGCGCCAGGGTGTCCCGGGTCTCCCTTCAAACTGCCCTGCGCTGCTGGGGTCATGAAATCGCGGGATGCAAATCGGGGTCTCTTATGGACAAGTTGGGAGATCTTTGCAAACTGTTGCCCACAAGTTGGGGGCTCCCAATGCCGTACTCTAGTGGATTTCGGGAAACAAGATGCCCAAAGGGTATCCCTTAAGGCCGATCAGTGGCACACGGATCCGTCTTCTTGACACCCTCTGAAGCAAGTCGGGGCGTGGTACAGGGCGCGGGTCCTCCCCACCAAGGCCCGAAAACAGGCCCCAAACAGACTGAGTTTCTCTTCCGCCCTGAGCAAAGAGTCCCCAGGGTCGGAGGCTCGTTTTGGAGCCGCCTCCCAAAGGGGTGGCTTCGGGGGCCTTTGGTTCCTTGCTTGGGTGTGTCTTTAGCGGACCCAAACGGTGGTTTCCTGTTGCCTTCCCTTTGAGCCAAACCCAAAAGGGTTCCCTCAAAGAAACACCCCCACTTCCAACTACCGTCCAACACCACTACCCCCAGGGAAAAATACGACAAATAATCCCAGTGAACGCCGGGGGGTTGGCTTAGCGTATACTTAAAACCTACACTATTCAATTCAGCCTGCTTGTCACAGGTTCCAGGACTCAAAGATGGCAAGTGATAAGTGAGCACAGGGCTTCTTAAATGTCCAACCTACTGTGGCTGGCCAAAATCCAAACTAGGCACCAGTTGCTAGGCAGCTTTTCCCAATCCACCCCGACTGGTGCACAACTTTGCTCATGCTATTGCCAACGAAACTCACTTCAAGTTGGTTTCCAGAGTGCTTGGGACCCCAAAAGATGACACGCAAACAGCGCCCATCTCACTTGCTTCAGCCAGCTGGCACGGCCACCGGCTTCGTGTCGCATTCGGACAGCTGCATGTCTGCAATCACAGCCGGGGGAGCCAAGCTGAAATTTAGTGGACGACCACCAGTAACGGCACATTGGTCTGTGCTTGCGCTGGCGCGGTATCTTTGTCAACTTTCGTGAAGCGCCAAAATGCTTTGCTAGTTCGCAGAAGCGTCGCCGGCTGAAAAAAAAAGGAAGCTTAATGCTGCAAGTGCTTAGCCGCTTGTCCTGCTTGTCCGGCACTTCCAACATGGCATTGTCCTTTTTCTTGCGCAAAAGGGCAGCGAGACGCGGAGTCGCGGGCAGCTCTCTAATACCCAAATCGGCAGCGCTGAATTGGTTTTGGGCACTGCTCCTTCAGACCTCCAGTCCTTTTGTCACCAGGACCCGCACCAACAACCGAGGGTTGGCAGTTGAGTGATTTTGGGCCCGGAGGTTCATTTAAGAGGAACTGGAAAAAAACAAGTCCCCAACTCCCCAACTCCTCACCATCCGCACTGCCAGGGCGCAAATTCCCCTGTCTGTCCGAATCGAATCCTTTCAGAAAACCAGCAAACATACAGGCAACCCTGCTAGTGTTGAAAATGAAGGATGGGGGCCGAGATCATGCATGAGAAATCCACCGTTGGCAACTGGATCAAGACCATGCATGGCAGGGTACCAGGTAAGTATGGTAACCCTAGGCAAATGACCCATTTACACCTTTCTTTCCTTGAGCTTCCATGGTTGCTACCCACCAACCCAATCACCTCTTGAAGCATCTGCTCGGACCCCGCAGCTTTTCGGTCTGAGCCCTCGCCCAATCCTGACCTCTGAAATAATGCTGCTGTCTAACTGTATTTCTTATGGGAACCACGAGCAATACTAGTGCTATCAGTGCTGTCTGTTCCCCTGAATGGGAAAACTTGGGAGACCGGCCAAACTAATTGAATCTCATAGGATAAGTTGAGCCCCAAATGTCCTTCCCGAACGATCAATAGACGAGCATGCTCAGCGCACCATGGAAAACGGCAGAAGGGCCACAGCCTTGACAAAGACATGGACAAAATTGGTTTTGGGTGGCTGTGCTTTACTTTCTGTGCAGCATGTCTGCCTGCCATGATGCGAATTCGCTGAGGTGTGTTATTCGCTGTCCAGCAAAAAGAAGAAAAGGAGTAATTGGCGTTTCTCCAGAGGGCGCTCGAGCGGGTCTTAAGACTGCCGCAAGAGTTGCACCCTCGAACGCGCCAAGATCCTGAGGAAGAAGATGCGGCTGCCCATAACTTCTCATGGACATTCCGCCAAGGGACCTAAGACGCGCACTATCTCAAATCACGACTTCAAAGGCCCTGTCCGTAGCCAAGGCGGATTGTGCCTGGGAGCCACACTGCAGCTTGGATCATTCACTGAAGGGAAATACTATAAATGTTGCTAGTGACTTGGAGTACAGCTTTCTCAGTTTTGCGCCCCGAACTGAAAATTACAATCTGCAAAAAGGCAGGGCAAGCGTACCTTTCCCGCCTGCATGCATCAAGGGCTAGAGATTACCTGACCCTTTCAAAAATCATGGTAGCCTCAATGTCCTTTGTTGATTACCCCGAAGACGAAGGTTTCCAGTGTTGATTATAAGACTGCTCCTCCAACCCCCAACCACATCTACAAAAAAGGGTTCCTTTAAAGTATCAGACATCACCTGCTTTGCAAGGGGATTTGTTGGCGGTGTCCGTTTTTGAGGGTACCCCCCTCTTTTGGTTGTTTTAAGGGAACACACCGAAGGGAAAACCACAATTTAGGGGTCCAACCTCAGAAAAGACACGCCCCTCTGAATCCGCCGGTCGTGTTTTTCTAAGCGTCCCTTCAGGGACCCCAGCTACGAAAAGGAGCGCCTAGGCTTCATGGATGCTAAAGAAGGAGTCTGGAAGAAATAGAGAACAAGACATCCCCTTGCAGTTCACCTGTAGCGGAACTAAAAGTTAGTGGCTAATCAGCAACCTCATGAACCTCATCACCAAATTGAGATGGCATCATAGCTGATACTGTTTCGCATCGGATCCAACAAGTGAAACGCTTAGCCGGGATTTGCCAAAAGGTTAAGCGTTCTTTTTTTTGGGGGGGGGGGTCAGCCACAGAGCCCTAGGTGTACTGCTGGAAACATAGATGGGACTCGGACTGGTACATTTTTAGTGACCAACATCAACAAACGCTGTCTATGGTCCTCGGATGACACCTATGACAGATCACACCCATCCTCAATTTGCTTGGTGAAGCCCTCGTTCTCTTAGATGCCCCCTTTTTCCATTCACTTCAAGCCATACAACATGGTGGCGTTGAACCCCATTGACAAGATCTGCTTTAAACACAAAGAGCGAGCATTTGATATCAACCCCGAGCTCCCCCCCCAAAGAAAAAGAAAGAAGGGATCCCCCAATTCCACCCTTCCAGTCTTTCCCAGAAGAGCCTGGAAACCCAGGCCCCATTCCTCGCGCTGCTTGGGATCAAAAAATGATCAGAGGCTCCGGCCTGCTTCTCAGATGCCCAGTGGAAAGACACCTTCCTCAGTGAGAAGCAGCGCAGCCTCACCTCAGGCCTCCCGCCCCCATTATTACTAGTATTATTACTGTTGCATTATTACTGTTATTATTATTGTTATTATTATGACTAGTATTATGTTATTATTGTTTGTGCCTTTTCCGGGCCCCCCAACACAATGAATATGCAATTTTCATTATTTACAGCCCTTTCCAAGCCTGTCGGGGCTCCGTTGTCAGCTCATTTATACTTCAGGGCCCTTTGCTTCGAATTCTCTCCAACCGCTCCTGAGCGCGTTACCAATGAAAGTCATGGATCCGTGACATGTGTTTGCTTATCTGAACGGTCCTGTGGGTGTGATTTTTACTTCACAGTTTGGAACTGGTGGACTCACTTACGGAGCGTTCCCGTGGATGTGCTCATTGACTCCAACCCTACGGTACTGTTGCTGATGTTCGACAGGGGACCCCAGGAAATGATACCCACTCTGCACAACCTGGTATATAGAGGCCAAGCAAAAACCGACCAGGCAATTCTCCCGGTGGGAAATGCCATGAGCCCCCATGCCCCCCGTTGCAGATGGAGCATGGAAATGTTGACCGAAATGTTCAGTCTTTGAAGCTTTCCGTCGCCTGTTCAGAAGAGCTCGGCTAGGTGAAAAGAACACGCTTTCGTAGGGGATTAGTGTCCACAGGAGGACAAACGAAGAAGTGACCTCCAACTAAAAATCAGGGGGTGCCACTGGACAAACTCGGCTTGGTCGCGACACCTAAGACAGACAAGAGAAATCATATCTGGAGCATGCTGAGATCCAATCATAACTGTCAAAACTTTGTGTGCGGAAAAGAAAGAAGCATCAGGCACAACACAGGCGAGGAAAACCGCACTGGGGGTGGTAGCTCTTTTCGCTTCCCAACAAAAACCAAGTGACTCCCAGTATAGGCCTCTAAGCACATACGAAGCCCTTCCAACCGAGCCCTCTCAATGTCCTCTCGGCCCTGCTGTGCGTCCCGGCTGTTGCAGCAAAGGCCCGAGGAAAGTTGCCGGCAGCACGTCCACAAGCCTCAGATCGGGGCTTCCGCTTTCCAACTAGAGCCATGGGGAAACGAGGTCTTGTGAGGCTTGCTACTCATTTTGTGTGCGCTTTCCCCGGGCACTTTCCGTGCCAAGGGATGAGCTTGCGGAACCAGGATGAATGATGTGTGACGGTGAATCATTCAAATTGATCCCCTTCATTTTGAGCCCAGCCACCACAAACCCAACTTTGGAGGGTTTCCCCTGGCCACCAAGGAGTTGCCTTCGAATGGGCGTCCGAGAGAGTTTTTTGTCTTTGGCTTCTCAGATTCTATTTGACAGGGCTGTGGGAAATGCCCACTTCTGTGACACAAGAAAAAGGTCCCCCAAAGACTACCCCGCCATTTAAAAAGGGAATTCCAAACTATTGATATCCAAACTTTCAATGAAACGGCCAGCTTGACGGTTCAATTCTATGTCACGCCACACCAAACCCGCTTTCTGGATATGTGATTTCCGGTTTCGGGGCGCGGTTTAGTGCGCGGTGTCTCGCAGCCCGAGCCGCTGGTGGTGGTGGCCCGGCCACTTGGCCTTCCAGAGCTCCACCTTGTAGCTGAAAAGCAGCCTGCGAGGCGACGTTGGTCGCGAGGAAAGTTTTCGCGCGGACCCTCCCACGAATGTTCGGCAGCTGACAGGGGCCCGGTCCCTTGAAGAAAATGATCTTCCAGGTACCTGCCAAGTGCCATGGTGCGAGGAAGGGTACTGGATTGGGCCAATGTTTGAGTGTGCTTCAAAATAGGAATCGGATTCCCTGGATGGGTGTTGAAAGGAAGCTAGAAGGGCACCGCCTTCCCTCCTCCGGGGTCCCGAACTTTGAGAAACACCGATTTGCCGACATCGAACCCAGTCCACCGGACTGATGGTCAAAATGCTCACTTGAGACCCAGGAATTAGGGCTTTTTGGGAAACCAGGGGCAGGGGGGAGGTAGAGCTGGTAGGGGGGGGAAACATTTTTTGGGGGGGGTCTTTGGTTAAGCACATACTGTGGATGTCCACGCCAGGCACATTTGCGGCTTGTTTCCAGTATTCATGGAGTTTCATCGATCACAGCTGGTGCGGGATTTTGTTCATCAACAGTAGGACAACATGCTCTACGCTTCAATCCTCAAGTGTTGCAAGTAGAAGTGGAGATAGCCGTATTTTGTTATGCTTTATTTATGGCTGGCTTACATACTATCAAAATTGGGAGTTTTACCGGCAAGTTCACCCAAAATGGCTTCCTAACTCCTTCCACTCTAGGTTTCACCCCCCGGTCTCAATCAACTAAGAATTCCTTGAATCCATGGGTCGTACACGGGATACGCAGAAAACCTCTGAACCCCCCCCCCGTTCCGCCCGGCCCGGTCTGAGGGCTCTGTGACATCTGGCTGTGGGTGACATTCAGAAAACCCTGTACCCTGGTGAACATGAAAATCATAAGGTGGCAAATGGATGTTCATCCACCCCAAAATGGAGCCATAGACTACGCCCCATGTCTGATGGCCAAGAAGCTCGTGCTGCTCAACACCCGGCAGCTCACAGCGCGCCGGCGGCTCCCCGTCCTGCGACGCAGCCGCTCACGGCTGCAAAGAGGTCTGGAGCCTCGGGAAACCTCAACGCGCTTTCGTTCTCTTTGTAAACCAGGGGCCAGAAACCAACGCTTTTCTAAACCAGGGATCCAGAAACCAACGTGTTTTCTCACAATCCAATGGTTTTTGATGGGGTCAATACTATTGAACACAAATTTGATGACCCGGGGGGTAGGCCACAACGGTTGATTCCTCACCATACCAAGACCGAAGAAACATTGGCTGTCGTGGTTCAAAGCTTTGGTTGTTTGCAGTCAGGAACCCACCAGCCCCCCAAGACCCCCCGAAGCAGTAAGGTCTTTTGGGCTTCTCTGCCCAAATAAGGGTTGCGGGGGTCCAAGTCGATGCCTCAGCCATTCTAACCGGGCCAAAAAAAAAACCTTGTCCTTTTGGACAATTGTATCCACAATCCACCGGATGGCAAAGGCAAACTGAATCAAACTGAAACCAGTTTGGTTCCATCCACACTCATTCCTAAAGTGACCGCTTCGAAGGACCCCTATGGTTCAACTAATAAGTGGTAAACCTACCACTTTGGGGTTGAGTGAAAGTTCGGGTGATTCGACTATATTTAAACTGCGTTGACTTGTATAATTCGCCAACCAGAATTCTGGAGCCGTAAGGGACACTCATCATTGGGTGCAATCGCTCGTTTCACATCCGATCGGCGAGCTCGCTATAATCAGTGCAAACATTTGGCATATATCCGGTTTTGGATGGTGCTCAAAGAGAGACCAAAAGGAACTCAACATGTTGCAGCGTACGAAAGGTTGATCACCCACAAACACCCACCCACCCACCCACCCACCCACCCACCCACCCACCCACCCACCCACCCACCCACCCACCCACCCACACACACACACACACACACGCACGCGCGCGCGCGCGCGCACCGTTTGTCTCCCCCATCGTTCCTTTGAGAACCCCACCCCCCTGGCACAGAAAGAACAGCTAGAAGGATTGCAGTCATTTCAAAAGGGCGCCTTTTCACCAGGATGGCAGTCTTCCAAAACTCTAGATGGACCATGTCCATGATTGTGTTGGCAACAGGGTAACCTCTTCTTGTCGACCGGCACCCACTTCGGCTGAAATTTCGCTCCTGGATCCCGAGGTCGCACAGCACGTCTCCGCTGTCCGCAATGACCTTGAGCCCCTTCCACCAGGTGATGTTCGACTCCGCCGACAGCTCGAACCTGGGGAGTGGGGTGACTGGGTCCTCCAGCGGTTGGAGCAACACACCACACATCTTCCTTGCCCCACACTGGACACCGCAAATTGGAAGCACTTCAAGTGGGCGGGGGCAGGGTCCAGCCTGCACCTTGTTAAAACAGACCAAAACTGGAGCTGTGCTTGGAGGGGGGGTCTGTTTGAGGGAAGGCGGTAGAAGCAGTTGCATCACTCTTGGCAGTTGGTTTGCGGTTGGTCCCAAAGCGGGTACCATCAAACAAGTTATCTGATATTATCTCCCTTCTATTGGAAAACATCCCCTGTTGGCGTCCTGTCAAGTGCGCTCTGGTTGGCATTCACCAGGCCGTATATATACATACAAAGCGAGTACCGTAGGCGAACAAGCTGGAATTCCTGCGAAACCATGCCATGCTGTTTATGTGTGTATGTAAATAAATATAAAGGTCTGGTTCACTTGCTTTATATCTACAATGGGTAGTATGCACCACTCAAGGTCTTTGGCCCCCAAGTGCTTTTCCCTGGGTACATTTGGTTTCCACCAAGTCACCACATACTGTTTCAGAGCCATAGCCATTGCAGCCTCGAGCATATCATTTCACCTAAAATAGATGTTGCTTTCAAGTAAGTCTACTCAGCACTCGAGTGATGGATTCGGAGCTGATGTTGATCATGAGTTCAAACCGATTCGTCTCTTTAATCACTGAAGGGATTACCCCCTTCTTTCATCAGAAGTCTATTCCTGAGGTAGCTTGCCCTCAACACGGAATCCTGGAAGCTGAAGGGGTTTTCTGCAAAGGAGCATGGCGAGGGGTCCCTCTTCAACATTGCTGATTGCTGAGAGAAGCTCACCTATGGGCCAAGCAGGTGATGTTTCAAACCAAAAGGGAAATCGGGACCCAGGTTCCACGGCAACCCCAACACCAAGCTGCGTAGTGGCTGGCGCGGATGACGATTGCCACTTCACGAAGCCGTCTGGCGGAAGGAGTCTAGAAATGTCCAAAAGGCGTATCCACCGCACCCTAACAGTGGCAGTTGACTCCTCTTGCAGATGGATGTTCACCCCTTTGCGTATGGCGCAAAGATCCCACTTGTGCCAAGCTCAACCCCAAAGCCTCAGGCAAAAGGACACCCAAGCTTAGATGGTCCAAGTGTCAGCCAAGCAAGTAGTTTGTGATCCGCTCTTGCGCTCCAGCCAATTCCCAGTTCAACCCCTTGTAGATCCTTGTAGCTAGGTTTACAAACCATGCAACTAAACAAGAGACCATCCTAGCAGGAATCAAACCTGGACTTCCCTATGCAAAATTGGTCAGACTGCATGTACTGGTACTGCCCCTTTGGGAGGTCCAAACGATTTGGAATCGGGGGGATGGGCGGGGGGTCGTGACCCTGAGCTAACGGCATTGGGAGGAGAACCCCCAATCAAGCAGGACATGGTACTGGAACACAAGCTCGTCCCTGCTCAAGGCACCGCCTTTCTACCATAGTGACTACGCTAGCGGTGAGTGGTAAGTGACCATGTCTGTGACTTGTTGACCTTACCACCAGACCAAGTGAGTAACAATCAAACCGGTTACAAAACCTATGTAAGGAACTTCATGGCTGATATCCGCACGTATTTGTGGTGGGGATGGTTCTCAGTAGGGAATCAACAGGGAGTGCCCACACGCACCAGTGGATCCCCAAAGGAAACTATAAGGGATGCTTCAGTTCAGGGTCATTCCCTCAACCCTCAAAATGTATCTACCGGACGTGGCGGTGCGGTATCCGCCCGTGCGATCGACTGAAGTGCTCCTCCCACTGCTCCTGTGTTTTTTTTTGCTCAGCAGGCAAACCGTTATCTGCTTCCAAAACCTCGTCTACCTCAGCTCCCCCCCCAACCAAACACATGCGGGTGTTTCTCAAAATGGTGGACTCCCTTTTCCATGGGTTCAAAGGGACACCACAAGGAAACAGCACATGTTTTGTGGTCGCCTTAAGAAACTCTGATGCTCGATTCTGGCCAAATTTCTTGCTTGCCATCCAAGTCACTGGAAAAACCGTCGTGAGTGCCCCATGTCCCTCCCAAGTCGATACACAAATCCGGCGTTGGAGTCTCGGGAAATCGCCGATTTTCTCAGAGTGCAGGGACCAAGCTTTGTTTCTACCCAAAGGACCTGGAAACAGTAGGTTTGACCTTTCGGGGTGACCGTGATTGGAAAACCAAAAGGATAAAACGGGAGACTCCGTTTTCCATTGCCAAACCTATTTTGTACCTACCAGCTGCCTTTTGGTCTATGGGCCCAAACAACAGGGGGGTCTAAGAGTTTAAAACAAAAACCAGGTCGAGGAAACCCGCGATGCCGCCACGTGGAGAATTCTCCCGCCTCCTCTGGAGCGGAAGCCGCCCTCTTGCGCTCGCTGTGGGTCGGTCCTCACCAGGGCCACGTCCACCGCGCCTGACGAGCGGAACAGCAGGCCTCACGACCAGCCAGTTGTTTGGTGGGTCTCCCCGAAGATGGGCCGCTGGGAAACGAACCCAGACAATCCATGTAGGTCATATAATGCCGAGTGTAAATGTGGGCATGTATTAGGGAGTGTCTGGGAAAGGAAACTGACCAAACATGGAGGCGTGTTTGCAGGGGGGGGTGGAGCCAAGCCGGTCCCTGAGACATCGAGACAAAGAGGCTCAAATGGAAGCCCTGAAGGATCTGCAAGCCTTTCAGGACCCTCTCCAGTTGGGTAAGTTGATGGTTCTTACATCGCCCTTACCCTAGCTCGCACTGAACTAGGGTAGAGCCATCTACGAGAATGACCAATGAGGGTTGTGTTCAACCAACTCAGTGTTCTTTGGGGTTTGGCACAAAGACGCGCAACTCAATTTCACCCACAAGATCCACCCTATTCTTCCCTTGACTTTTTCCAGAATCGCAGAAATCCAAAGGCAAGTCATGCAACACCCATCACTTTCTGCCCAGCGTCATAGAATACAGTGCACTTGCTTACCAAAAATAAACATGGCTCAAAAAGCAAGGGCACTCCCACCTGAATGCCCAGGAGTATCAAGCCGTGCCCCTCAGAACATGTCAGTGGATATTTGGCGTAGCGATGTTGCTACATGAGCCACGGTAAATATTTCAAAGTGTTGTGTGTCCCCGGTAACATTAAGCTCCATTTCCTCGGGGTAATTTGGTATGTTTGTGTGTCTGCCCCATGTCATCCCCTACCACTAATGATGGTAAATAATGGCCGTTCCTGCACTCAAACAAGGTGACTTCCCCAAACTACAGCAAGGACGACGTTGGAAACTTTCAAGAAGCCTAGCAACAAACAGTTTACCCTCCCACAGGTCTCATTGGTGCTGTGCTGGGCAGAATTAGGTATGGAACCCGAACGGCGAAGTACCCGCTCGCACCATGCCTTTCCCCTCGCCGCCTCCCTTCGCTGCGAGCGGCGAGCTTCAGACCTCATCTTTGGGTTCCCCTTTACAAGGGGGACCAAGGTCCAGAAAATATGTACACCGACTTTTCCCTACCTAAAGCCAGCTACTGCCTCCATTCAGGGCTTGGCCCTCAGACGTCGAAGCTTGGCAAAGTTCCAGGAGAGCAGCGCAATCGAAATCTGCAGACTGCTGCCAATGCCCGCCCACCTCACTCGTGGGGCAAAACAATCAAGCAACACTGCGACACAATGAACATCAGGCCCCGTCTCCTTTTCACCAAACAAAAAGAGACACTGCTTTTAACAATCCTGGAAGTGGACGGGAGTGTCTTGCAAGAGTACCATCCGCTTGGAAAAGGCCTCTCGTCCACTTCCATGATTGCTGAAAAGGGGGTGTATACATATATGTACGTGTACACACCCAGGCCTCACTTCCATCATTGTCCGCTTGGGCACCAACATTCTCTTCCCACAAAAACACGCCTGAAGTCCAGGAACTCCGAAGTGAGATGCCCATGTGGATACGTGTGTCAACATGGTAACCCTCTAAAATGGTGGTTTTCCCTTAGACTTTCCTCTAAACTAAGCCCAAAACGGGTACTCTGAACGCAACAGCGCAATGGAAAGGCTGCCACTGGGCCGGGCCGCAATGGCAAAAGGTGCGTGGCAAGGTCCCCTCCAAGAACCAGGTCCGCAAGATCCCTGACTGCAATTTGCAGGCCCAGCATGAAGCACAAGGCGGGGGCCGCTAGAGCGAAAATCAGTAGATTCACCGCCTCAGTCCATTCAAACCTCTTTGTTTTGTTCATAACCCCTGCGACTTTTTGCACCAACCCCTTGATTGAACATCTTTTAAACAATTTTGGAAAGCGTTTCCCAGCAAAAAGGACTCGTTCGAGCGACTCTATAAATACCCCATTAATCCCTATGGATCAACTCTTGCTTGGGACGTAAAGGGGAACTTTTAGAGTTGCTCATTTGGGCTGAAAACAGCAAACGTGGACAACCCTTGTGTAACCTTTTGCCCTGATATTGGTTGATATCGGTTTCCCCTCCTCGTCGGTTTCCAGTGTTCCAGAGGGACGGGCCCTTTCAGAACGATAAGGCGCGCTGTTTGTGTCTGGTCGAACTACTTGGTCCAATCCTTGTCATGTTGACAAGCATGCATATATATATATATATACATTTACATGCTGTACATATGTTCTTTGCAGACCCCCCCCCCCAGTGACTAAACAACTACGCCAAACTGTAAAGTTGTAGAACTCCTTACCAAAATGGACAATGAAAGGGACTGTTCCTTTCTGGTTCTCAGATTCGGGTTAACGGAATGATCTTGAACTTCACCATTTCTCATGACCTCCTTAAAGGAATCCCCTTCCCAAAACCCTTGTGATTGCCTGAGAACCAGCAAATTTTGGAAAACAAGCACATGAAAACACACACACACACACACACAACATCGGCCGACCACAAGGTCTGCCAAATCGGCTAAGCTGCAGCGTTCAGGATTCTTCCTCGACTCGCCCTTAGCCTTCGAGTGAGCGCCAGAATCCAGACGCAGCTAGCAGGAAGCACGCCCAACCAAATGCCGAAGCCTGCGAAAAGCCACCAGAGGCTAACGGTTCCTGGGCCAAATGAGACCCGCGAGAAGAAGACAAAGCTGACTGGTTGAAAGGAAAAATGAAGCGCATCTATAAAGGCACGGTGAAAAGCTTGAGCCAAGTCTGGCAATGACTCCTCCTTCTTCTCGCCCTCGCTCACTGATCGCATATCCAGCAACTAGATCCATCATGCCCCAAAAAAGCGGGACCGTCGCCACCAGGAAAATCCGAAACGGCACGAGGTGCTCGCCGAAGCGCGAGGTAAAGGCGGGTAAGACCACGGAGTGGATCGCATGCTCGAACTCCGCTTCCGCGCCGAACCACTCCCCGATGCAATGTCCAATTGCATCTCGGTCACATGGCACCGGAGTCCCATTTCGGACATGGTTCCAGTCGCAGCATGAGCAGCGCGAGTTTCGCAGCGAAAATGAAGCCAGCTGCTCCTGTAAAGTGTGAACTGAGCGCATATATGCACGAGCGTCGGCGATCGCATATAATCCAGCGGGGGTCATGATGATTGGAAGAAGCACTAGGATCTCCCAGCCGACGACGCCATGCATGAAAACAATCCAGACAATGACGTATACGCTGGCACCTGCAGGGTTGTCCTTTCCAACTGTCCATCTCCAAACACTTAGTATGGGTTCCAACTATACAGACATCCCCTTCAAACATCACCCTACCCACAGAGGTGATGCTCAAAGGTAATGCTCAACGCCCACAGGTGATGCCCAAACCCCGCAATGAACACAACGTAGAGTGACCCCTGACCTGCCATGCCAAAGACCAAGCAAAATGAGCCCATGTGGACTGGAACGATCTGAAGGTGGGCTTCCTGATCAGCTGATCGGCTCTTCAAAAAGGCGGCAACCTCGAAGACGCACCACAGCCTCGAATGAGCGCCCTGGATCCCACACCCTAATGCTTAGCGAGCCAAATGTCCACTTGATATCCCGACGGAACACTATGCGGCCGGGATTTTCCCGTGGAAAGCGAGGTTTTTCAAAGTATACCAACTCAAAAAGCGGGTACTTGGCTAAGCTGGGGCCAGGAAGTGTGTCCTAGGGTCCGCTAGGATGCAGGTCCTCAGCCCGGTCTGTTGTCCACTTGGAATCTCGTAATGTTTCGCGGTTCGGTAGGAAGGTCGTTATTCAGAAAACCCATGGTGAAAAATAATACCTTTGCCAGACTTGGACCACTGCAACCCTGCAACAGTTACATGCTAGTTGATGAAACATGGAATGCACCTAAAAGGCAGTTGAGTGTGGCAACCAGAATACCACTGCAGCGTTGAGCGAATAGATACACTTCATCCTTCTACGCCTAACCTTCAAAAAACGAGCGCGGGTGCTATGTTTCAGAGGGACCCATCTATTATCGCAGCGCGAATCCCCCGGCAGTCTTTGTCGGTTGTCTGAGCACTGGCATTCTTCACGTATGGGGTATATGACGTAGCTTGACGATTTGGCAAATAAGGGCGGTGAAGTCCAGGCGAGCCTACAGGTAGCTTGCGGCTTAGGCGAAGAAATCCAAGGGGCTGCGGTATCAGATGACCGTCAACTGACGCCAAAATAGAGTAATTGTCCAGTCTGCCGCCGCTGTGAAACAGAACAAACCGTAGAGTTTTAGGATTTCGCGAAGGACGCATGAGTAGGGCGCAGGCATAGAAGGCAAACGCGGGATCCCTGGCTGTGCAAAGCCTCCAGCTTGAGCAGTCCGTCATCAGAATATACAACTCTTTCCAAACATGAGGGAAAGGCAGCTGGCATGGTTCAAACATTCGTTGCTCAGTTCGTGATTCAGTGAAGAGGGGGTCCTTACAAAGATGGTCATATTATGCATGGTTATTAAATTGTGGACTTGGTCCACATCTGCGGTACACCGCAAGCAACTGAAAAATAGTTTTGGGGGCGACCCCAGGTTAGACCATGAATCCCTTGAATGACAAAGGCCTCCCTTTCTGCGAGCGACCAACTGAATTGCCTCTCTGGCCTACAACAGCTTGTGCCCCCAAAACCAAAAAGTGCATAGTTTGACCTTTGGCAATCTGGAGCAATTCCTTCAATAGAGCCCGGCCTCTGCATATAGCTGGCATCCCATAGCACCAGCATCCTCTCCGACCTCTTCAGAAACGCGCCGATGCTCATCACGCCCTCCATCTTCAGCCGGGGGTCACTTTGGTGAATGCAAATGCGATCCAGGAAAATGGAGGCCTTCGCAGCGAAAGCCAGAAGTTGGGGACACCACAAAACGGGATGTTGAGAAACCCTTGAAATGCAGCTTACTTCGATTGAAGGAACCCGGCAGGGCAACGGGGCAAAAGGTTGATGAAGCAGTGTGGAAAGGGTTGGTCTTGCAATCCCGAGAGTTGCCCCTGTAGCACAGAAATTGACAATCTGAAGCCAGCTTCCCACAACCCCGCACTGAAAGCACAAAGGTTGGTTGGTTTTATCAGAGCAACCCTGGTGTTGAATTGCCTTCCGGAAGAAATTCCCGCCATTATATATGTATATATATATATACATATATATATATATATACCTAGGTCTTCCGTGGGCACTTTTTTCTGGATTTTCCCGTTTCGAGCAAACATAATGCTCATTTCATCCAACAACGCTCAATTAGAAAGAAAACACTCAATTAGCTCATTTCCCGCCGATTTCCGCTCATTTTCCGGGAGAAAACTTGCCAGAGTATGCCAAATCAAGGATTCCGCTCACTGAAACGAGCAAAAAAGATGCCCAGGGCCCCAAAAAGTGACCAAATGGAAGACCCAGGTATGTTATGCATAACAAGTCCACTCAGGGAGTGAGGAGGGTGCAAAATCGCCAAAAGGAAACCGACCCCGGGCCCTGGATAGGCAAAATCCACTTCACGCCAGCGAATGAATCATGGCATCCTTGAAATCAACGTACTGTCAAACTGCGGCTGGGTTTTCCTTTTAGGCGTTCCAGAAAAAACCCGCTCCAGCCGGGGCA